GACCACTTGGGGTTTCTGCCTGCACAATAATAAATGATCCTGACCTCCCAGAGATCAGTTGTCATGTGGTTGGAGCACAGTGCTTTGAGCAACCCATTATTACTCATATAAAAAAGAGGCTACACTAAATTAGAAAAACATTAAAACATCCTGAGTTCAAAGCAACTTCACTTACAGTGCCCGTTTTACATTTTGTCCCTCCCTTTCCCCCTCTCTTGGACCAATCCCTGAGACTGTAGAGATGTTCCTCCACCCTGTAGTCCTCTTCTGATATTCCTTTTCCTTTCTAATGTATTTGGAAACCAGAAAATATAATTGAATTTATTTTTCGTCACAGAATAAAGTAAAAATGCTTCTTGCTATAAAAGCTCTTGAAAAATCTTTTGGTTTTCTTCTTTTGCAAGGACAGGTACTTTTAATGAGCTCTTCAGATGTGCTCAGTGAATGAACATATAAGAGCGTAAATTCATGGCTGTTTTTATTTAGCAGATGTAGAACTTTCCAAGAAAGGGGATTCTGAAAATAGTTGCGAGTCTCTGAACTTGCTTAGCATTTCAAGAATAGTTATTTCTGTTTTCTCCTGAAGGAATATTTTAACCTGTTGTTCCCATGAAAATGCAGAGTGTTTAATATCTAAAAATTGCCTGTACTAGGTCCTAAGTTAAGGAACAAATTAGGGGGGGAAAGGTAAGTCTAAGGCTGTCTCATTCACTTGGTTTTTTTCTGATCAAAAAGTTTCCAGGTGATTTAAAGACAAGTAGTTTAAAAATGGTTTTAGAGTCTCTTTAAAGCTTTGTTTAAAGTTTTGCAGAGATATTGTATCTCTGACTTCAGACGTCTTGTGGGGCTTTGGTGTGAGGCTTCACATGCTCCATCTGTGCCAGAAAAAGTCCTGTGCTTTTGCAAGGAAAAGTTCTGCTATTGCAAGACCTGACTCTGCAAGTTTTAAGGAGAGTTTTACCCCCCCGACACGTTCCTTTATGACAAAATACAGATGGCAGAAATGTTGGAGCAGCACAGAACAGCTTTTTGGGAAGATGGGATTCTGACCCTGTATGCCAGACTGAAAAAGCAAGTGTTAACACACCCTGTTGAAATCACAAATGTCTCACCTGAAATGAAGTTTTGACACAGCTGCTTTACTGCCAGCTGCCAGAATGTGCCTTTTGTACTCACTTCCACGCCCTTATTCAGGGTGTGGTTTTGTTACTCATTTCTGCAAGAATAAGCTTTCCTTCTTTTCCCAGGCTCACTCTTGTAATGCAGGGCCTAGTCCTACTGTGATTTCAACTCAAACATTGAATAAAAATACATTTGAGCCTCACAGTTTCACCTAGGCAGCCCCCAAGTCCCAGACAGCTGCTCCCAGATATCCCAGGATGGGGGAATATTCAAAAGTAAATACTGGGATGTATTTGTGCTATTGAAGATGCTGTGATCTCACCAGGAAGAACAATTTATAATGTATGTAGAAAAAGAAAAAAAAAAAATTTCCAAAACAGATGGGGCCCATGCATCTGGGAGTATGCATAGGTATGAGACACAAGCTTATTTTCCTGGTGGTTTGCTAAGATGTCCTTTCAGATATGAGATTTATACACTTTTTTACTCTATTCAGAATATAATCCTTATAAATAAGGATAAATACTGCTTGTTTATTACTTATTCCAGTGGCCTCAGTCTTTTCTCTCTTCTTAACACTTGGCAACAGCCAGTGCCTGCAGCCTGGCTCTAAACTCAGTGTGCCTCCTCAGCTTCAGCTTAGCTGCAGCACAAGGATTTCCCTCCATTTAGGTAAATTCAGGTCACCATACGTTTTTCACATAGCTTCTATGCAATTTGTGTACCTGTCAATAATTTAGAAAAGACAGGATGGTTTTGGTGCCAGCAGGGTCCTGCAGTACCTAAACAGAACATAAAGGACATGGTGAAAAGGTGCTCATCAAGGGACAAAACAAGAATTCAAAAGGACAAACAATTTCACTCTTCAGTAAAGCAAAGATTGGGGTTTTTTCCCCAGCTCAAACAGTTACATTTCACTGAGATATTTGACTAATGCTGCAAGTGAAGTCAGATGCAGAACTGTGAATGTTTGATGATTCCAGTGAGGAAAAGGAATGGAAGGGGGCAGTTTCCAATTCTGACAAGTTCAAGGCAGGCAGTTTCCCAGCACAAATGCCCTTTCCCTCCCACAGAAGAACAATGAAGTTATGAGGGCATGGATAAGGAAGGGATGCTGTTTTTTAGGGGTGGTGGTTTTCAGGAAGGCACAAAAGGAGCCCTTCCTGCAGCAAGCCCCCCTTTCCCATCCAGAGGGGTCAATGTGAGGATATTGCTGCCCTTACTTCAGTATCACACCCCCCTTCCCTGCAGGCAGGGTTCATCAGAGCTGTCATTCATTACACACAGTAATTAACAAACTTTTTTCTCTAGGTAATCTGAAATGCCAGATGCTCAACACACTGTAGGTTCCTGTATTGCAGTATCAGCAGACTGCTTAGCTACTTTTACTGCAATTTGGCAGCATCATCATATTATTTTGCATGGTAATTGATTAAAATCACAAGATACTCTGGGACACACTGAATCAGGAAAACTGTGGGAGCAGGAGGGCTTATGGGTGGGGAAGAGAAGCCTTATTTTATTTAATCCCCCAAAATTATACCTGAGGAAAACAGCAAATGCTTCTTCCTTCAGCCTGCCTCTGAACACCCATTTATTCAAATCCCACATTGGCTCTTAGCAGCCTCAAGGATCAAAGGATGGTTTTTTGTTGTACATAGAGTTTGTTTCTGGGCTAGGACAGACAGCTCCTTACCAAGGTGGTTCTTTCCCAGCCTGGCTCCGAAGGGAGTCACAGCCTTTTCCTACAGACCTATTTTTACTTTTGGAGAGCTGCGCCCCCATTAACAGCTCATCAACCGGGGAATGAAGGGCACCGGCAGAGGGATCCTTTATCACAAAGCTGGTGAGGCAGCCAAGGAGGACGCTGAACCCTACAAGGAAACACTGGCACTCATTTACAAACAGAACTCAGCATTTTTATTCTTTGATTGACTTCCTGCTAGTTTTGATATTTGCTACCACCAGAGAAGAGCTTAAAAACACAGTACAACATTGTGAACCAGTTAGGAAGGCTGGAAGGGAGAGCAAATCCCAGTACAATTGCAAGTAACTTGGTGGAGTTCAGAATTAAGATTGTTTTGAACGGATCAGCAATGAAGCAATAAATATGCTGCTGCACTGAACCAACAACAGGATTTAATCACTAACTTTGTGGTTTATTGCATTACAGTTTAAAACTAAATGTTGTCCCTCATCATACATTCACCAACCAGGTAAATGACACTTTTTCATATGTTTGATGCTAAATGGCTAAAATTATGCAGTAGCCAAACTAGACTAGGACTAGTAGAGGTAGATATTGAATGGGCAGTGCCAGGCAGAAATATTTTGTCAAGGTACTTCTTTGTCTTGCATTATGAACAGCTAGCAGGTTTAACACTTTTAACTAAAACATCTTAGGGAAGCTATTCTAAGATGCTTTGGACTTTGTAGCAATATTTCTCTTGCAATATTACAAACTCTTTGATAGTGTCTCTTGTAAAGTGGACAATTTTTGTCCTTCCAGTTTTCTGCCACAATTTGCATGGAGACTAACACACAAAACTGGTATTTGTGAACATACTACTGCTTTTGCTTGTACCACTCCAGAATACACATTCACAGCTTCCTTGGCATGGGAAGACTGCATTTATAGTATTTACAGCTCCAGTCATCCTCCTAGCAATAAAAAAGCCATTTTATATTTAATCTAAAATGGAATTTCTATTATGCCAGCTCCTTACAACTAACTCACTTCAGTCTTCTTTTGGCGAGCTGCTCTATCAGTTGCTCCTTGCCATTCCCACTGCTGGCTGCATGCTCTGGGAAAGTCTCTGCCCAACACAGCCATTAAAATTAAGTGTTTGTAGATTGGAGCTTTCATTTCCAGGAAACAGAATCACGATGGCATGGCCAGAAGTTTTGTAAAATCATACACCCTTTGTGCCTCGCTTCATCCCAGGGCAGCTGATTACTGGAAGGCTCCTGGAAGCAAAAGCCTTTCCTCAGGCTCAGCAACCACTTTCCTCCAACTGGAACCTGACCTTTCATTCATGAGCTTATAGATGGCTCGAATCAATTACTCACACAACCATCTCTAATTACACTACATTTGCACCATTTTCCTTCACAGGACCCCAAAGCACTGCGTGACCACACGAGTGTAACTCTGACTTCCACACAGTTCAAGCTGTTTTACATTACACTTCAGTAAAAATGGCATTTGTAAAGCAAAATTCCTTAGGGGAAAAGATTTCAAAGCTAGCTACATACTCTGTACAGAACACTTAGAAAAACAGTTAAAGCAATCACAAAAAGGGGAAAATACAATTTTTATCCGGGTCTATCGACCTGGGTGATGGTATCAAGTGGTTTTGTTGGCATTAGTAGTACATGTCTAAAACAGAACTGTGGCAACAACATGGGAATGCTGCAGGAATGATGGCACCATTGCTCCAACCCCCAAAGGCATCACATTAGACAGACACCTTAATTCTTCTTGTTTATCTTGCTCACATGATACTGGTGGTTGCACCTCTGGCTCCTCAGGCCTGATCTCCCCCCGCCCTCATGGGTGTTTTCTTTCAGGGAAAATATAATTCAATCTCTGAGTTTCTACACCAACTTCCCGAGTCCACTCTTATGGCTGCAGCACCTCCAAACCTTGCAAACCCTAATGCTAAAGGAAGATGTAACAGGCTGATCATAAACACCTTATGTAGCCCTAGAGAGCTCCCTGGGAAATGTGAATTTGCTCCCCATGCTAGGGGAAAAATCTGGGTGCCAGACTTCCCTGTGTGCTGTCTCAGCCAGAACAGATCAGGACAAGCCTTCCCCCTATGAACATGCAAATATTAAGAACCCTGCCAACAAAAAAAAAAAAAAAAAGTCAAATATAGATTTTAAGGCATTTAATATGCAAAGAAATTAATTACAGAATAGGTAATTTTGAGGCTATTTTACCTGCTTGTTCACACATGCGCCTGCATGCTTTGCTCTCTACACGGAGGAAGCAAGTACCTAACCCACCATCACAGGGAAAACCACAACTTCCAGTTCCCTACAATTTAAGCCCATGAATAACTCTGGCACTGCTTCATGCAGTGTGCACCATCTTCTCTTATCTAGGCAAAATTTAATGTCAGAAATTTTTTTGTACCCAGGAAAGATACCCATATCGTGTGTCATCACCAGTGGCTCCACTGATGGTGACATTTTCCTTCTCCAGTGAAAATCATGAAGAATCAAACTAAATTGTGTCATGCCAATGCTGTAGGTCACTGACCACAACTGCACTCCCTGCTCCCCTGCTCTGGCAGCCCAGCACCAGAGATTACAATTTGGGATCTCAGCACACAAAGGAAAGCTTCCACTGCAACATAGCACTCTGTGCTACCAAAGAAGACTCAGTGCACTGGATTTCAACTTCATTTCCAGCTCTAAAAGCTCTTCCTCAGAAGTCAGTCTTGCATCTAACAGAACAGATGTGAAGATGAAGGAATAACAATTTCTTTGCCAGTTAAAGAACCTCCATTTTCAGGCAAACTCTTGGCTTAGTTTTCTGTCCTGGGCTTGCAGTCTTCTGGAAGGGGATGAGTACCCTCTTTAATCCAAAAGCACCATCTCTGAAGCAGTGTGCATGCCTTTCAGCAAGGCTATGAAGTGTCTTTGGGAAAATCAAAATAGATGTGTAGATGAGGACTTCTGGAAGGCCCACTGAAGCATCCTTTTCCCCATTTGCACAATTAAAGACAACGAGTAACTTCCAGCTTTTAGTTCATCCATTTCAACCCAAAAACAGGCATTGAAAAAGTAAAAGAAATAATCCCATTTATAGGCAGCACCCAAAACCCCCAGTATCTGGAAAAAAAAGCATTTGCTTGATGCAATTCACAATCTGTTACAAGTGAGCACTCATCTGCCTCCAGCAGCCGAGAAATGGGCAACAATACTCAAGAGGCAAGGCCAAAATCTCACAGCTTGTGTAGGCAAGACTGAACCATCTCCAGGAGTTGCAGAAGACATGCAGTCCAAGTACCTCAGGCTGCAGAAACCACTGAGATCAAGACATCAATACTCGAGTCACTTAAAGGCTCTGTTGGTATTCCAGTCCCTAAAAGCCCAGCAGGTAAATATACAAATACAGCAACCCACACTCGTGATGGGAACTATACTGCAAACATACACCAGGATAGGCTAGCCATGAAAAGAAGGGGAGATGAAGACACAATGAAGAAAAGCCTGTTGTTCTGACACTTAGGAATCTACAAACCCCAGCAAGTCCTCCAGGATCTCTTAACTGTACATGTCAATCACTGAATTCCACTATGTGGAAGAGGAAGGCTGTGTATCCACAAAACAGATACTCTGTAACTGAACTCCTGCAGCAAAGAAGGCACTCACTTTGTAAGCTGTAGTTTATTTCTACTCTGTTTTATATGATGAGCCTACAAAAGAAAACATTTGAGTACTTATCTATATTATTAACACAGTAGACTTCTAGACTGAAGCTTGACTTGGAAACACTGGTGGAACTTAGAAGCCGAGTAGCAAAGCATTTTGTTATAGGACTTCCCAGACATTCAGTATTTACACAGAATGCATTTGCACTTTATACTCAATGACCACCCATCATCAGCAGCGACACTGTTAGCATGAGTGGACAGCACAGTGAGCCAGCCCTGAGCTGCACTCCAGCAAACCCATTCACTGTCCAAGTACAACATAGATCGGTTGGAATATTCACACAGGTGTTTTTCAAAACGTTTTATTGCATTATATTTGGTACCTTATGTTTGACAAAGGAAATTACATCTGTAACTGCAGGAATAAGAAGCTGGTCTGTTATTGAAAAAAAAATCTTGGGCCCCTTAAAAGTTACAAAGTCTTGGGCTTGCCTGAAACAACTGAGCAAGAAATATATTCTTAGAAATGTAGGGCTTCAAGTATTACAAACCTGTGACACTGTGGAAAAGTTCCAGAGGTATCTAAACTGCAGCACTTTTTTTTTTTTCTGCATAACGTGAACAAGGCCTGCTGAGGTTTTAATCTATTAGTCTCTTGATCAGTCAAAATGGTAGTCAGGAGTTTTCCTCTTTGCAACTTCAAGCCATAGTATGTTCTCATTTTGTTTTCACTCTACGTGAAAAATGCATGCGATCTTTCTAATTGGTGCCACATCACAGTGCATAATTTTATTTGGTTCTTGCATTACAGTTTTAAAAAGTTTGGCCAACCTATGCCAATAAGTTCATCTCAAGAACAGCAATGCTGATTCTCCCCTCCCCACCCCGAGTTTAATTCCAAGAGAGACCATTGTAACTGGTTCCTTCCTTCAGGTAAAAACTGTGGTGCAAGAACACCGAACTGATCGTGTACAGTGAATTTCAGAGACACAACAAGCTTATTGAACACACTATGTTTCTTAATTCTGGTTGATATCCGTATGTCCAAGCACCCCAACGTAACAAGTATGTTGCGGGTTTCTCTCTATATTCTGATTCACATTGCATACTTCCTATGGACACAATCATCCCCCGTATCAAAATCAGTCAGATGCTAAAGCCCCATCAACTCTTTGTGCTCAGTGAAAGAATCCAGTGCTAAAACAGCAGTTTTGCTGTCTGAGATAACAGTAATCTCACAAGACAAATTTAAATTTAATATTTCTGCCACACACCTGCTCTGAGGGCTATACACCTCCAGGTCTCATATAAATTAGTTTAAAAACATGGATGGGTAGGTGAGGAAAAGGGTTGTTTATTTTTTCCTTTTTTTTCAATTTTAGCAGCTTTTAATTTTTAAGAAACCAAACAACCTATAACCAGTAATATGTTAGATATTTTATATATATACTTTGTCAGCAGGATAAAAAAAAGTAAAACTATTTGAAGGCAACGGGGTTTTTTTTCCTTCTGTTCTTTGTGTAAGTTAGAACAATTCAGCAGGTGCGTGACAAAAATATTATACACCAGATATGGTCCAACGTCATTTTTTTTGCAATAAAGTTGTTCATATTTCATTGGCCAGTTCTTCAGGTTCTGCAGAACTATCTCCATTAACTGTGATCTTCATATCCTCTTCATATCCAGGGGGCATGAAAGCCAAAGCATAAGGGAAAAGCTTATGACAATTTGCTCTGTAAGTTTCAGATGCTTCTTTACAGTCTCCAAGGCTACCGTCACATAAAGCTTCTAATACCTCCATACAAGTCTAATTAAAGAGAAAAATAAACAAGTGTTATGGCTTCTTAAATGTTCAGCTGAACACTCACAACACAGGTTTCAAAGAGCAGTTCTGCTCTCTCAGATAAGAATAATTTCCCAAGACACATTTAAAACAGTATTTCTGACACAGACCTGCTCAAAAGGCCACACACCTTTCATCAAATGACATTCTAACTAAACACAGCATGAAATACCAGTGTAGTCTGATTTGAAAGAATGCACTTTAAAAAGGGATCTAAAACCCAGCTAGAAATATTGACTGTAAAATGAAATACTAATTTGTCACCTGTTTCTTATTTTCCTAAGAAAAACCTATTCTTGCTAACTGACAACCAAGAACCCCACCATTCCTGGGACACACTGACCATTGCAGCAACATGTAACATACCTTTCAATCGCATCAAATTACTCTGGTATTACCACATTTTTCAGATTTTAGTTAATGATTTAGAAGAGTAAAAGGAGATTTCCTGTGTAACTTTTTGCAGCCTGCATTCCAACCATGAGAAACCAACCTAGTGAGCTCCACTAAAGCCTGGCAGCATTTAACACCTGCCCGTGGCTGTGTGCAGGCATTAGCACAGCCAGGCAGCCTTCTCCTGCTCCTCTGACATTTAGTACAGTTTTTGTTTCTTCTGTGGACTGGGATTAACTGCTCTGTCCTCCTGCTGAAGGGTTGTGGAGCTCTCCTCAAGGACCCGTTTTGCTCTCTGTAGCACTGGCATCCACCAAAGGTGAAATATATCTGGTTTTACAGCTGCAGCATGCTCTGAGACACCTGGTCTTTATACAATGAAATGTAATAAATCTGATCTCTTTGCACACAAAAATGCCTTTCTACAAACACCTAGACTCCTTTAGATCCTCCTCCACTTTTAGGGCACTTTTAATTTCTCATCTAGAAGTTCAGAAGAAGTCCAACCCTTCCTTCATGTTGGCACCAAACATGCTTAAAGTCAACATTTTCCGTTGTATCACAATGCACTGCACAGGAGTGCATTTATGCACTGCTGAGCTGGTAAAAGCTTCTTTTCTAGTCTTGCCAAGTTTGCACCTCCAGAACAACCAAGCAGTTTTGGTCACACTTCATCTTTCCCCAGTCCAATTCCCAGAATTCCACTCACAGGCAAAACCCAGCAAATAGAAGGCAAAATAATTTTTGTTTGCTAAATCTACTCATAATCTAGATTAAATTCTTTGAGACCACTCAAACAGAAAGAAAACTCGCATCATCCAAAAACCAATACCCAAACAAGACAAGTTTATGAAAAATGCTAAAGGCAATGTCAAAGGGAGATTATTCCATGACCACCAGAATGAAGCAAAGACTCACTGGTGAGCTTTTCACTTAACTACATGCTAAGGCATAACTGGCACATGCAGCTTTTATTAAACCTATGGTAATTCCCACAGCTTGCAGGAAGCTGGCTATGGAAAGCCTTCCCAGAGTCTGTGCCCCTCCTTTTCTAGTGAGCAGTTGCCTGTGTGGCAGCCAAAGCTCAGACAAACTACTACCTTTTCTTTTGCCCTGTGAATTCTCTCAAGTTTAATAAGTTTTCCCATTACCTGTAGCAATAATATGGCTTCCACTGCTGCTATTTTCCTATTATCACAAAACTAAATTAATTTAAATGTGCAAAAAGGATATTAAATATTTTGGTTCAGATGAACCTGACATCCCTTTCTTTCACAACTCAACCTTCTTGTGTGTTATGATAAGGCACAGCAATGACTTCAGCTTCCTCTTACCTCCAAATTTTGCTTAAAGCTTCCACAGATACAACAGAAGTTGTCTACAATTTATAAATACGTTACCTGAAGATTTCTGTTAATAAGGGATTCATCCAGGGTCATTGCCAGTTCCACTGCCCTTTTCTGACTGGAAGGGTCTAAGTAGTACATCATTTTGGCAGCTACAGGAGGAAAAGAAAGATTCATCACCCAGTGGATTACCAAAATCATCTTATACACAAACATAAAATAGGGATAACATGAGGAAGAGGGGGGACTGAACTCTCCAGCAGTAGTTCCAAATGGAACCAGCTTGGAGCATAAAGCATGATACCTATGCAGGTAGAAGGGAAGCTCCAAACAAAGCATTGAAACAAACATTCTGCACACATTAGAAACAACAGGGCAGAGGTCCCCACATTCCCACTTCAGCAGCACAAAGAGAAAATTAAGGAAAACCACAGACAACCTGGCAATCATGTTGTCAGAAAAACACAAACAGAGAAGAAAGCACTCCAGAGGAAAGGAGTGATTGTTACATCACTGGGGCTGATACTGAGATACCACTGCCAGAGAAGCACAGAAAATGTACCAGGCAGAACAAGGAAAAGGGCAAAGTACCTGATAACCTATGTGGCAGTGAGTCATAGTTCCTTTTAAGGAAAGCTTCATTGAAGTTCTTTGGATTAGTTGCTCCAAAAAGCCGATTCATTTCTTGGTTTAACACTGTTCTAACAGCATCAGGCAGATCCTTACTTTCAGATACTGTTGGAAAAAAAGAAGTTGAGGTGAGCACAGGTAATCGCAACAAAATACAATTTATGTATTTATTTTAGCATTTTTCATGTTTACATTATTAATATAATTGGAAAGTATCTCAAAGGAAGATGCATGAAATTAGATCAGGTAAATACTGGATGTGTTAGAAGAAGCTTAACTGTGGCATTTACCTGATGCCTAGAAAAAGTCAGAGCTTTTTTACATTAATATACTCTCCCCCCCTTACTAATTAAAACCTATTATGCTCAGAGGTTGAGGTCATACAGGTCTGTTCCTAAATGAGTCTACTCTGTAGCCTCCATCAGAAAGGGTGACCTTTGGGGCAGGGAGAGAATTCTTCCAACTTTCACAAGTAAGGACAGAATTCTAAGCCCTCTCCTTGCATGCTGACACAAGCTGTCAGCAGAAAAGTCCCATTCCTCACTCTGCAATTTCCATTTCTTCACTGTCTCTCTCTCTCAGGCTTCACATACTGCTCACGGTCTCAAAAACTCTTAACAATACTGGAATGACTCCTAAATCCAGATGCAATCATAAATACCATACTTAAATTTTAGCATGAATCAGTTTTCTAATACATGCTTTAAATATTTTGAATTAATTGTGCTAAAAACCAATGACTGCAGGTTTGGCATCACCTGGCAGTGTGCACAGGTGGAGTCCTACCAAACACACACATACCACTGCTGAAGAGATGAATCATGCACTCGTGGAGCCAAGGATGACTGGAATCAATGGCAAAGGCTCTCTTCACAGACTGAAGCATCAGAAGGAACTTCTCTGGAAAGAAAAACCAAGTGTTGACAAGTGTTCAAAAACCTGTGGCAGGAAACCACTGCACTGTGTTACAAGAGTATTTAGTGTTTGAAATTAGAATGATCAGAAGAATTTACAGCCGAGTGTGCTGCAAAAGCCATTTTTAATAACATCCATCTATTTAACCAGTGAATTAAGTGGATAATCACCAAATAATCACCAGATGTTCAAACTCTGGTTTGCACATACTGCTCATTGCTGGAGTGCTGGTCCAGTGAAAAGTTCTGTACCGTGACAGGGATGGGCTCCTCACACCTCATCAGTAATTGCTGCTTAAGTTCCAATATACACCTTTACCATTCACAAATTGCTTGCCTTCATTAAGTGCTCTCACTTACCTTTTCGAAAATAAATCTCAAAGGCAAAAAGATGAGTCTCTATTTTGTTCTTCACTAAATTCTTCAAGGGTGTTAAAAATTTAATGGCTTCTTCCAAAGGTGCTTCAACCTACAGATTCAAGGAAGTGACACACCTAAGTCAAAGTTGAAACCTAGTAAGTACAATAACAAAACCCAGCTATTGCTGAGTCACATCAGAGAGTTACTCTCCTAAGGCAGTGCAGAAGATGCTTAGAATCTCTTCTGTTACAAATTCTGCAGCTTTTACTCAATGTCTAAACACAGACTAAAAAGTCCAAAATATTTGCTTTCTGATGGCTACAAAGCACGTTCTGCTATAGAGATACAATTCTTTTCCTTCTATCACACACCAGTAGTGAACACACCTGGAGCTGAACCTGCACTGGAAAGGGCAGTGTGGCTGCCCACACCAAACTACATACATGGGCCTGAGGTAAATGACTGATAAACACCCATGACATCCTGCTCATGTGAGCTTCAGACAGGGTCCTAAAAGCTGCCAGGTCACAGTGACAGTCCCAGCCAATATCACAATACAATACTGTGATATAGAATTTGGAATCATATTATATTCACATCTGTATATTACAGACATAACTAGATTTGCCAAAGAAATGCATTACACAGCTGCAAATGTTCCTTATAATCTTGGGGACTGGCTAGATTTTTCACGGGTACCCCATGACATCTCTGTACTACAGAACTCAATTTCAATAAATGCCGCTGCACTTCCATCTTGACTAGCATTGCAGTTAGTTCTGCTTCTTGCAACCAGTGAACTACACAATGGAAATACCAGCAATATTCTTAATAACTAGTCAAGTTTAAGTCACTTGTTTCTTGGCTACAGAATGAAGTTCACTGACTCAACTTTCAAATATCCCTTCAAGAGCAAATACAACTCACTTCAGTGTGAATAGTATGAATATAGATTCAGAATACTGGATCTATTAAGACTTGCAATGTATACTACTATTGCTGTAAGTAATTTTTCCAGTCTCTATAATTTTCTTATCTTTCCCTTACTTTTTTTGAGTGTTTTCCTGCTCCTTACAGACATAACTTCTGCCAAAGGAAGAGTCTTCTAAGTCACCTCCCTTTATATCTCTCTATAGTTCTTAATCCAGATCTCTAAATACGTCTCAGTCTAGTCTACTATTTACTACTACAGCTTCTTTATTCCTTTTTCCCCCCATTCAAAACATGTTTGTTTCAAAACGTGTTTTGTTCAAAACGTTTGTTTGTGCAAACAAATCTCGTTAAAGCATTCAGTGCTTCAATGTCTCCTCTTTGACAGACTATGTGAACAGAATAAAGAAATGAAACAGAAAAGCATATCAGGGGGCATAAAAGAATGAATAATAATCACCTTACAGACAGGACAGAAAGACTTCCACACAACCAGCTAGAAATAGGGCACAATCAACAAGGTAGTGCAGCAGACATATGGAGATAATTCCACATGTAGCAAATGTTTATGACTTCAATTACGGCCTTTGAGAACTAGGCACAAAAACTGCGATTTCCACACTACTGACACTGTATCTAACCAACTAGCCCTAGAAAGGAATTATTTTTAAAACACTGCCTGTGAAGAGATGCCATCCAAAAAAAATTTACAAGTTATTTGAATGGCTTATAAGTTTTGTGTGCTTACTGCAATTTTTCTAGAAATTCCTAAGACTTTATTATTACATTGGTAAGCACCTTTGCCAGTTTCTCAGGGATCAGTTCCTCTTTCGGTCCTCCAATTTCTTCATCATCATCATCCTTCTTCTTTTTCTGATTCCTCTGTTGCTTCTCCTTCTCAGCATTTTTCTTCTCCTCCTCCAGTTGTGCTTTCTTCTGGGCTCTTCTCTGCTTATTTCGTAGCTTCTTTAGCTCCTTGTCAGACATGTTTGCTGTACACACACAAGGGACAAAACCACACAACACTGATGTCTCACAATTAACAGCATCAAGCAGATGTCAGACAGCATCACCTGTTTTAAACTATGTCTACTAACAAGCAGTGCTCTCATCACCTTTGTAAAAGCTTATTTACTATGGATAGGTTGTTTTATAGTCTATGCTGATGCTTCATAATCCACAAATTCCTTAGTGGAATCAAGGGACAGAAATTAAAATAACAGTATAATGAGATGAAAAGTACTAAAACTTTACAAATTCCTCTTAAAGAATTCTCTCATGAAGGATCCTCTGTTAGTACCATTTGAGATGCCCCAAGCCATAACTGCTTAAGCTGCTCTCAAATCAGAAATGTGAGGAAAAAAAAATAGATTATTTAAACATTATTTTTACATCAGAAGCAAGAGATGATGAAATTTAAATTGCTACCAAGTGAAATTTCTGCACACTGATAAAACGCTTAGAAAAGTTACCACCAAGCACATCTGCTTCAATCTCCTATTCCATGGACTAACCAACTTAAGAATTCATGTTTTTGCAGTCATTCTGTAACACAAATATTTTTACTTAAGAACTACAACTCTCACTACAAACCTATCATTGCTCTGCAATAACCACAATAAAGCAGACATCAGTTTAATTTCCAGCAGAACATCTACTTTACCATGCAGTCCAAGCTGCAATTTGCCTACTTTGTTTTTTGCTATCACAGACCTACCTAAAATACCCACTAATTAGTGAAACTGCACAATGAATAAACCCTGAGGGTTGAATACCTGTGTCAGCCTCATGCTCTTTATTCTCATCTGTTAGGGGATTATCATGAAGTTTCAAGTAGATTTCTATGGCAATGTGTGCTGCTTTGAAGTAGAAGGGGTGTTGTCGAAGCACATCTTCTAGTTTTAACAAATCCACATAAGACCTGAGGGTGATCTTCCTCATGCAGTAGGTGTGGAAGTCGAACTGGTCATCCGTGATTTCTACAAAGTGCTGTCACAATGTAACATAACATGTTTAAGAAGCAGTAAAAAAGTCATTCCCCTCTTGAACTTCTCCAAGTACTTAACATCTCATATAACTTTACCCTAAACTCAGCTTAGTTTAGGAACTTCCTGAAGTTTAGGAACTTTACCCTAAACTCAGTTTAGTTTGTCAAAGCTCAGGATAGAAGAGTAAGCACAACAAGCTAATTGAGGTCTCTTCCTTTGGAAGCTACCCCAGCTGGTGACTTACTAGCACATTTTTAAGATGTGACACTCAGATGTGAACCCTGTGACAGATTTACATAATGGAAGAAAAGCACTACTTCTCGAGTTTTAATTCCTCACGTGTCCTTTCCACTGCTGCTCCACACCTGCACGTAAGTTTTTGCAGCATTATCTTTAATAGTTTTTAGGATTCCTGAGTAGCAATATTGTAGGACCTTTTACTACTTATGCATAGGCAGAGAATTTGTCACTGACTACACTGTTGAACATTATATTTCATGGGCTGCTTAATCATTTAGTACTGAGACAGAGCAGGTGTTGTCCTTGCAGTTGTTAGTCTGTTTCTGTGATCATGTATTGATGGAATAATGAAAACTCTATAGAGACGCCTTAGTAATCTCCATGATAAACTCCTTTTCTTGCAAGAGCCGATTATTTGCTCCTACTCTGTTTCCCCAGCCATGAATCAGCTATTAAATCCATGAGATCAGCTTCCCCACTTTTTCTGAGACAGTTTAGATCCTTTAGGTGCAAAGTATGAGATAAAAATGCTTCTGAAAACCAGAACACATTTCATCAACTAGACTGGCCCCTTTGCGTAACTGGCCCCTCCAAAAGATTTAGAAGGCACTGCTTTTTCTTACAAAAGCTATTTTCATGGTTTCTGAATTCAACATATTTGCTTATCTTGTGGTTGAACTTTGCTACACCTTCAATTAATCCAATAAATAAATTAAACACAGTGACTTAAATGCTTAGAAATATTCTTTTTGGTGGCTTAAGTTATCACTTCATTTGCTGACCTCTTCTGGTACCTTAGACAATTTATAAGACTAATAGTTTCTTATACAAAAAAATCTTACACTAATTTATTTAAAGGATTTATGCAAATAAAACACAATCCTGGCAAATCACAAACTGGTGTGGATTGGAAGGGACCTTTAAGGTCATCTTTTTCCAACCCTCTGCCACAGGCAGGGACACCTTTCACGAGACCAGGTTACTTTGGAAATTTTACATCACTTTTTTCAAATCAGAATGTTCCAGAGCTGAGTCCTCCCTGCAGAAGACCAGCAGTGCTGAAATCCCCTAATGCCTCTCTATTTGCAAAGAGGCACAGCTTCCTACTAAGTTCTGCTCTTTCAGCACTTCTTTTACACCCTCAGCTGTCTGGTCTTTTCTCTAGACTTTAGTGTGCTTTAAAAAACCCCAAATTCATACCTGCTTCTTTTTAAAGCTGTGCATCCAAATTTTGTTGTTTGCCTCACTATGGATACCAACATTTAATGTGCAAGTGTTCCCCCTTTTAAATAAAATTTCTACTTTAAGAAGTCTTTATTTTTGCAATGGCTTATTTTAAACTGTAGCTTTTTTTAAAAGAAGACAGTTAATATTTTTGTAATATTTTAAACATTTATTGTGTAGCTCTAAAACAGTGCCTTAATAGTAACTGAGATCTGTCCTTCACTTAAGGATGGGCTCGTCAGCTCATCCACTTATTTTTGGACTTAGAGTGCACATACTCTTTGTTTGTATCTAAATACCCATTTCTTATGTACACTGCCAGAACTAGGATTATTCTTGACAGTTTTCTCCTCTTGTCTGGATCTTTAAGTAACTTTATAAAATCTTTTCATAAAACACAGTTTACAATGGCACTTTTAGGAGGAAATGCAACTATATAATCTTGCCAGTAACCAACATGAAATCCCTCCTGAAGCTACATGAAATGCACCCTTACTGCTCAGAAAAGTGACATAGCAGCACAGTAAACTTAAACCAGTGTTTCCAATCTAAGCCATTGAGCTGAATACGTACTCTCTCAATTTCATGGCATTTCTTAAGTGCTTCTCCAAATTTGTTCATTGCCTTGTAGGCTTGTGCACATTCTGTCTGAAACCACATGCACTGCATTTCATTAAGGTTCTCTACTGCCGAGGTTCCTTCCTAAAAACAAAAACAGCATTATACAGAAAATAAATCTCATAGGAGTCATCAGCTGCTATTTCTTTTATCTTGCCCTCATTAAAAGCACAGTTAAAGAAAATGAATGTTAAATCTCAGAACTGGAGTCTTGAAAGTTGGAAATGCCACAGTTAAAACTGACGAGCTTTGTTGATTAATATAAAAATACAAACAGTATGGAAAAAATGACAGAAAAGTTCCAGCCCACAACAAGACACTAACACCTGCAGGACTTTTTTCCCCCTCAACTAAAACTGCCATGTGCATCTTTCAGAGAACTGCTGATTGAGCTAAGCATCCTGACAGTAGTAGTAGTAGTAGTAGATGATTATTTCTAACGCAATCAGTACTAGAGAGTAAGGCATGACAAAAGGAACACTTTAATTTGACACCTTCTGGTTCAAAAAATGAGATTACAGTTGTCTTTCAAATCTGGTATTTATATATACTTGCACAGATCCATAGAACTTAGCAATGAAAGAGAAAGGCAGTGTTCAAAACAGCCTGATTTAGGCAACTGAAAATGAGGAAAAGTATCAGTTCTATTTTCAGTATCTAGGACTGAAATCTAGGATACTGAAATCTCTGATAATCTAGGACTCCTCTCATTATTTTTGTTTTTTTTTTTTATTAAGAAGCCTGTATTTGAGCACTAGACATAAGATCAAATAGAAATAAATAAGAATGTAAAGAGCAACTTCATCAATTTCTTTCAGTATTTTTCAAGCTCAGTTTTGGGTAACTGGCATGCTTCCTTTTAACATCATCTTAGAGCTGCTTAAGGCATTGAGGGAGGTCAAATTAACCTAAATTCATGATGGGTTTGCATCAAAATTCCCACATGGAGCTACTGAGCATACATAAAACAGAACTTTCTCTCCCCTCATGTCTGCCTCCACATGGCCTTCATTTCACAAGATCCCTCAGGTTTCCTTCATAAATACCACTCCCCCTTCTCTCCATTCAACCTACCTTGCATTCCAGGTTTCTCCTGCTCTTTAAGAGAGGAGAAAATGGGACAAACAAACAGAAAAGGCTTTACTTTTGCAGGTAGATCCCAACAGCTTGCTGCCTGTCTCCCACAGACAACACACAAATGACACTGCCAGTATTCCAAAACTGTAATTTGACAAATAGTCTGGAGAGACTTCACTGAGCTGTTTTGACTTGCAGTTATGAAAGAATAATACCAAAGTAGTACATTGTAAAAAGTAACTATGTGTGACCATCAAACCTATCCAAATGGGGCTACAGCAGGGACAAAAAGTGACGCATGAAATCGTGCCATTTCCATAACCCAACATTCATGCTGTATTTTTCCTACCTAGCAAAAATAACCAAACCGAAGCTTTATAGAGTTTTCACTTATTCCTATGGCATCATGCTTATCCAAGATTAATTCAAACCCTGCTATGGACTACCATAACTGAAGCAAGCAACCATAGGTGCTCTGAAACAGAATTTAAATATGATAGTGAGGCTGACTGCAAAGTTTAAAAAAGTTATTCCACAAGGGATTAGGCCCACACTATTCCAAAGACTTCTAGAAAATTGCAACAAACCCGTGTAAACTTAGAACACATTTCTTCAGCTTCTTTAATGGAGTTTGCTTTCAACATATATTTTGCACATTTGGAGTTGATAAATCTGTCTGCTGTGTCCAAAGCCTGAGCTTCATCCATCCACCTTGCAGCTTCTTTAATATTTCCAGCATGCTATAAAGATAGAAATTTAAGTTGATTGAGTAATTGTAAAACACACATATTTTATCTACTCACTGCTTGATATAGATAGGTTTTTCTTTAGACTTTTAAATACCTTTCCTCATTATGGAATTACTGGTCTTTTAGCACTGAATGTTTTTCCTGAAAATGCTTAAAGAATCAGTTTGGATAATCCCATTCTGACACAGTATCATAGTGCACCCTAAGAAATTGTTTTAAGCAGCTACAAAAACAGGGGGTAAGAACAAATGAAAGACTCAATTTAATTTAATCAGTGTGATTTTTAAACTAAGAATTCACATTTCTCCTTTACTGAGTTAGAAACCTACATCGTGGCTTTTTCATATGCAGCAGAAAACCCCATCTCAAATAGCTTAACAATACCCTTACCTAGAAACTCACTACAATTCCTAACAAACAAATCACCTTTGGTCACTAAGAATAAAGCCAAACTTACCTTATAGATTTTTGCCTTCACAAGGAAGAGTTCTATCAAAGTGGGAGTACTTTCTATAGCAGCATTTATATATTCTAGAGCCAGGGATGGCAGTCCAATTTTATCATAATGCTGAGCCAAGTAATACTGGACCCAGAGTAAAGTGGTTGGAGGTTCTTCTTTACCATCATCTGGCAGGAGCAAAATGGAGAGGGGTTGTTTGTTCAGTTTATTACTAAAACAACATACCAGAAGTAAAATGCTCTAAGCACAGCCACTGAAATTAATTCTGTCTCTCTATCAGACCTAGGAGAGCTTTCAAACTACTGGCTTTAGGTACATACATGAGCTTTTAAGTCCATCCAAGACCTAGGTATATCCTTCTCCTTCTGTGGTTTTAAGGAAAAGGGAGTTGGGGGTCAAAAGCAGGTGCACTCTGTTCCAACTATTTGCTTAGGGCAGTCGGATATGCAAAACCTCCAGGAACACAAAACACAGTCCCCAACAAAAGCTCCAAAACTACACTTTTCCTTGAAGATTGTACTATCAGTATATTGCCTTTTGTTTGGCATTTCTGTAGTAACAGATTTGACACAGCTGTCAAACTTCAGTTTTCTGAACAGTGATAAACTCAAATCTTGAAAATAGCATACTTGAACTCAAGTATGCGAAGACATGACTAAATTCACAGATCCAGGAAAAAAGTTTAGAGCAAGTGACTACATTTTGAATAGAGACTTTCTATTTGACAGCTATGGTTCTGCATTAGGGGAAAAACAAAAACCCCACATCCCCTTTGTTTCTTCACTCCCATTTCCCCACCTCTGAATGGACACACAGTGCTTACAACCAGGCACTACTTCCATGAAGCCCAACAGTCTCAGCACTCACCATTTGGGTTAAATAACCTGCAGCTTCTTAGAGAGGTTTCATAACCTATCACGAGCTCTTCTATGATTGCCACCTACACGTACAAGACGAGACACAGGAAAAATAATATGTAGGCCAGATAGTATTTTATTTTAACTTGAGCTACTTGGTGTTACCCAAACTAGTTATTTTGGTAAGAAAACTCTGCAATATCCTGAATTAAATTACTTCTGAGAATGTACTCAATCTCACTTTATTTTTAACCAGGCCTCCCTTGGTGAACTCTTACACAGCTTAAAATTACTAAATTTTAAGTTTTTTACATTTACCAACTTGGCACACGTATGCCCACATACATACTACTTTCTTCTCTCCACTGTATCAGGTCATGTAAAGCAGTGCTCATGGAGAGAACACTGAAGAAAAATGGTTTCCTTCATCTCTTCAATACACGACGGTTACGAGATAGAACACAAAAACTGGTTAGAACACTTACCTTCTCTTTGTCTTTATATAATGACCTCAAAGTGTTGAAGACTGGTGGGCAACCTTTGCTGAAATTCATCCTTAAGAACTTGTCTAGACATTCCTTGAACTTTTCACCTTGAGAGGAAAAAGACCTGTTGATTTTGTTTTACCAGACATTACTCATCAATTGCAGGTTGTTTATACCTTTAAATCAGAATCTAAGAAACACAAGCGTTGATCACTACCTGCTCAGCAAAACATGCACTTACCAGACAAAAAGTTTAATGGTAATCTTCTTGGAACTAGTCCCCTTGGGTATTTAGTCCAGGCCTCCTCATAGATCTTTAGTCTCTCCATCATATTAGCTGGAAGAGAATTTTACAGTTTACTTTCCCCTTCCATTCAAGCAAGAAGGAAAAGGGGAAAGTGATTTATACCTGACTAAAAAAGGAATCAGAATATATAACAACTATAATATAATATATATAATGGTTTCCTAAAGAACAGAATTTCCTCCTTATTCTTATTAAAAATAATGAATTGAATGACTCCAAGGTACACAGTATCTGCTAATTCCTCTTCCAGCACTAGAATACTAACTGCTTATCTCTCATCTTAAAAACAGCCCCTGCTTTATTGCTGTCTAAAACCTTCAAAGAAGGCCATTCAGTTTTATTAGCTACAACATAACATTAAGATAACAGAAGCAGTAAAGGAAAAATTGAAAATTAAAACTGTCATCTAAGAAATAATTCTATTCTTTCAACCACACACAAAGAGTATTGCAATTTTATGATTCTATGATTTTGGATAAGGCAGGGTAACAACAATGCAAGAGATATTTCCTGTCTTTCTTAAGAAACCCCAACATTATGACAGTATGTACACACGCATTTAAAAAGCAAAATTTAAATGGGGACTTTAAAAATAATAGTTTTAGTATTTAAAGCAATACAAGCTTTTCATACACGTAGTAATTTTAAATATATAGAAAAAGCTTATTTACTACAAGATATCAAATCATTACCTGGCTTAAGTGCCTTTTCTAAGCCTTTGTAATAAGCCCAGTTTTCAGGATTTCTTTCTTGCAGTCCCTTGTACACATCAACTGCTTCTTCAAGTCTGCCAAGCTGAAGCAGGAGTTCTCCTGTGTGAAGAACAAGATGGTTTAAATTGTAAAAGCAGTGTAACATTTATCCCTCTACACTAAAAGACTGGATAATCCTTAGCTCCATCCAGATTCTAATTTCATAGAAAAAATAAGCACTACATATAGCATTACAAACTAGCTGACAGATATGCTTTTACTTTGACAATAGCTGCAGTTAAAGTAAGATTTTACAACTTGGCCCACAATCCCTGAAACTTACTTGAAAATTTAATGCAAAATGCCTATGATTTGGGTTTTTTCCTTACTTACTGAAGTGACTGGTTACTTTAAGTGTAGTTTTTACTGCAGAAGGCAATTAAAAGCAGCACATGGTATTTGATGTATACAGCATCTTGAAAACCAAACAAACTGTGGAGCTGCAAGTAAGAGAATGGTTCTTCAATCTGGTATTTCATGAAACTAACTTCAGTGGTTTTAATCAAGCCATTGATTAGATGGATGAATTTTTAAGATTATGCCAACAAGTTTCCTTTTCACGATACTTCAATACAAATTAAAATTGATAAAGTAAAGATTAGCTCTAACAATTGTATAAGCATCTTTGTTAATGCTGGAACTGCAACAGGAGTAGATTTCCTGTTTCACAATGGAAAACTATTTAACAAAGCTTTGCTATTGGCAAATGTTAGGCATGAACAGATTACACACCAGAGGTGAACAATACAAGTCTAGACTAAAGCAAGATTTTTTTAACCCTGTTTAAAAGAGGAAAATGCAAATTTACCTTTCTTCTTCCCTTTGTCACACAATTAACATGCAATTTTGGCAAGAGATGCTGCTTTACACAGTTAGAGTAACTTGAGGACTACACACAGAATCTAGTGCCCAGGAAAAAGTTCACTCACTGAGAATGACAGAATTGGGAAAATAAACCTTAAATTCTTTCTCTGAGGTGAAAGTTAATTTTTTTTCCTATCTAAGACCAGCAAATATCAGCACAAGTTTGAGTGTTTTTCTGCTGTACTTCATCCACAGAGGCTTTTGCATGTGTGCTTAAAATTTGCACACACTCATTTATTACAATAGAGAATACACAGCAGCCAAGCCAGTCCAAACAACACACTGGGAGCTGTGCCCAAAAAATTAATCACTTGTACCCTGCTGAAAGCACACAGCCTGCAAAGAGTATTTCCATCCTTTTGTCTGGTAACTTCCTAAGGAGGTTTTGTGTTTTGGTCTCAGGTTTATTGTTAATGAAGTCCTATTTGCAAAACTTATTTTCATTCCAGACTTTGGACCTTCAAACACTAAGTATGTCACATAATACATCAACGCAGAACATAAAGTATGTCAAAAGAACCTTCAGATAAAAAAATAAACCCCACTCCTACCCCCAAAAGTCCTACCACTGTGTTTCAAAAATGATCTGTGATATTGTAGTCTCTATATCCATCTCCTTTCATATGCAAACCAAGTAAGATATTCAGCTACCATGGAGAGTCATCTGCAATCAATTTCCTTGAGGAAACACCACACCTACCATTACTGTCACTGCTCAATTCCTAGGTTCCTTTGCAAGACAGTGAGATTACTATTACCAGAAATAAGAACTTGCTACACCATCTACATGAACAAACTAGGGTAAAAGGATTTCTTTTCTTTAAGCAATCATCTGAACAGATTCCAGTGTGAGCCGAGAGCAAGCAGCACCTTCAATAGATGGGCAATTTCACAGAGAGACTGTACAAGCATCAAGCAGAAAAGGAAGAAAGCATGCTTTAATGAAGTGCACCTGTTAAGAGAGCTGCTAGAGTGAACTTGTATCACTCTGCAATTCCATGTGTGGAATATAAGCTACAATATTGTACTGATCTGTTACAGTATTATACACCAGGTTTTTAATAGTACAACAGAAGCTCCCCCAGCCTCACTGAAGAGTCAATTTCTACATGCTGCAAGGGTGACTGGGGACATTTAAAAGCCTTCTGCTGTACCAAAGATGATTCTTCCTTTGCAGCACGTGCTATCCTTGTCAGGGCCACTATCAAAGCTGTAACAGCAGAGGGTACACTCACACAGACCTTCAGCACATCAGTTTAGGATCTCCTATCTGAAACACCTGGCTGTTTAAAAGTTTCAGAACAGCACGTTTGTACCTCACTGATGAGTTACCAGCTTGGGACAAGAGCATGACAGGGACTGAATAAGCTGTGAGACAAGCAGTCCTACATAACATCAAAATTAAATAAATTAAGCTAAAAACAAATCTGAGTTCCAAAAGATGGGAAAACCTGACAGTACAGACATCCCACTGTATGCTATGTGTTCAAATGTATCTTCAGAAAGTGATTACCTTTAGTTTCTTCAACAGCCAGTTTATCACAGATCTGCTTTTCATAGGTACAAAGATGCTCCAAGGCTTCTTTAAAAAGCCCTGCTTCCCGGAGGACTTGGTTTTGATAGAGCAGCAGCTCACTGTACTCATAGTCCACTTTGTCAGGTGATGTCTACACAGGAAAGCCAGACACAGGACATAGATCAGCCTTCTAACTCTAAACTTTGGGATCAAATTCATTTGACTAAACAAAGTTTAGTCATGCATGAAGTTTTCTCATCATGAAAGGAATGTTTTATTTTTGGCTTCCACAGCACTCCATATAGCAATTTCATGTTCTCCTCTTACCTGCTGTGTCTTCCTAAATTCCTCTAAAATTTTTGCTGCCATTTCGTAGTCTTCCAGCAAATGGTAAGCGATGGCATAACCGATCCATGATGCTCGCTGTGCGGGTCGGAGCTGAAGCAACTGGTATCTTGTTTCCTGCAAAAAAGGAGCTGCTAATTTTACTCTGATACTCTGCAGAATCCTTTAGGCAAGATCCTGTCTTCAATATTCTAGTATTTAAGAAGTCACTGGGAAATAGTTTTGTATATGCATTTTATTAACCAGAGAAAGAATAAACTTTGAATTGCAATGGTGCTCACTGAATAAAAAACTAAGCCTTCACAAAATAACATGTCCAACCAAATCCTGATGAGTCAGACTAATTTTGTTAATGCACGACACACATGCTTTTCCTGTCTAACCACTTATGAACAGAACATAATTAAGGATACTTGGTTTGAATTGCAGGAACATTTACCAGTGTTTCACATTAACCTTGAAAGTACATATGTATTTAAATAATTGGAAGTGTTCTTAGGCAACACAGGTCACGCAAACACATCCCTGTTCTTTGGCAAGAGGATAATCACAGCTGGAAAAGACAACAGATTTGCTTGGTATCACGCAATTTTAATGCTACAACTTGTTTTGTTGTAGACTGCTGAAAGGCATTTTCAAGTAACTTAAAGGAAAAAAGTTACTTCCCATTGAGAAATGTCTAAACTGTCAAAAGTAGGGATTAACAAAGAACGAAAACTAGTTACAGCTGTTTTAATAGAATGGTGATCACTCAAAATATTTTCACATAGTGGAGGCTGGAATTTAAAGGAAAGGAAAAAAAAACAATCAAAACACAATCCAATTCCCAGGTTTGAGAGCAAATTCACATTTCTTCAGAGACAGCATATGATTAGCCATGAACTACTGACTTCTAAGCATCCTAACATTTAATCCTTAATGCATTTAGAGATTACAAAATTTGCATTCACATTTATCCAGAAGCCAAGAAAATAGAAATCTGCAAACACATTTTGCAAATGTGCATTTTGGCACCTACACTAAGCTCTAGCTATCTTGTCTTGGCAAGAGTGGAACCAATTTTCTAAATGAAAAAAATTACTATGAAAAAATCAGTGATTAAGAATTGTCCTGACTGAGGAATAAGTTCTCTGAGGACCTGTGCTAGCTCATGGTTCCACACAACTCTGAGCACAGAATTTTCTCCTGGCTATAACTAATGTTACCCTAATTTGAAAAGGAAGTATTACATGAAGAGACCAACTAATGTGTTTTAAATAACACAACTTTTGAGGTGCAAGGGAAACCTAAAAAGATGAAAACCTGACAAAAAAATTGAGCAGTCACTCACTAATGCCCAAGATGGCAAGGAACCAAATATGATCTTTCAAGCAGCACACTGCTTTTTCAGTTATTACCTACTGCTAAGAGAAAACAGGGGGCCAGTGATGTAAAGGTGGAGGGATATATAGAACAAAGTTACTAAAAAATACAAGCTCCTTTGTCTGAATAAAAGTCAAGTTCTGAACACATTGCCTCTTGCCTACAGGAATCCTCTCAAGAAAAGAACAAGACTGGAGATTGCCTACAGCTGGGTTATACAGCACCAAAAAAAACCTCCACAAGGCAAACAATTCTGCACTGAGCTGAAAATGCATGATTTAATTTGCCATTAAATCTTTGTATTTTATAGAAATTGCCCAGTAGCACATCTGCTTTTACTTTATGAAGTGAAAGAGTGGCATATAGTTTTAACTCTCTGGACCTAACTATTTTTTCTTAAAGTGTCATTAATCAATCTGCCCCCTTTGCTGCAGTTCCCCAGATGATCATTAAATGCAGCATGCATACTCACCCTGTACCCTTCAAGATCCCTCATTTGAATCTGTAGCAGAGAAAGGTCTCTCAGGATTTGAAGATTGTCTTTGTCCCATTTCAGTGCATTTCTGTAGCATTTGATAGCTTCATCATACTTCTTGTCTGACCTCTGAAGAAGGCCATAGACGTGCCAACCTGGAAAACTCTATTAAGGCTTCCTCTGAATTTGAGCAGGGACAAATGAGCTCCAACAGGGCAGGGACAGAACAGCTGGCAACAAGCTCTCAAGCTGTTTTGTAAATGGACAGGAACAGTACAATTCCTTTTGTCAGGACTTTGCCAGTTATATGTATACAATCTGTACAATATGCTGTAAATGTTACTTTTCACACACTGGGGGAGGAAATAAAGTAACAGGATCTCTGAAAACACTCTTAGGCTTACTCAAACACAATTTTAGACAGCTGAAGTGCTGATACTTCCTGAACTCTAAGTGTATGAGCATTCTTTTAACAATGCAATGGCAACCACTCATGCTTTCAAAGCAAATCACATGCTTAAATGCCCACCATGGGTTTACAGTTGCAGATTAATGATAAAAAACACACACTTCATGCCAGAAAAATATGTAAGCTAACTGGGAGTGTAAGGACTGCAAAGCATTTGCCCTTTGGAGAGCTTAGACAAAACATTTATTGGAAATTGAAAATTCTGCACTTCCAATCTGAAGTTTAAACTGGCTTTTATTGCTATTCTATGAATGAAGCATATGCAGAAATGAAGCTTTTCAATTTTTCATTTGACCAGCAAAAGCCCGGTTTCACAAAGGATACAGACATGACTCTTCAGGTCATTCCTCAGGCCTCTGCGCACAAGTTCATAAGCCTCCTCTTTCTTCCCTAGACAGTTCAGTGTCAGTCCTTTCATTGCCAAGGTTTCTAAGAAAGAAAAAGATTAAATTATTTAATCTTTTATTCATTTCATGGGTGATTCAGTTATTCATTGTCATGGGTTTTAAGCTCCATATAGCAGCCCTAAACATAGTATAAATGCAAATTTAGATTCGGTTCTCACTATCAAGAATTCATTCTTTTCTCACATGGAAAACTCTACTGTCAGATTATTCACTTAAGTATATCATACACAGCAATAAACCTTTTATATTACTTCCATGAAAAGATGAAGGAATGCTTTATTTTAAACCTGTCTGTTCTACAAGCTTCTGGAGATTTTTTTATTCACAACTCTGATATTTCTACACATCTACCCATACCAAAGTAGTTGCAAAAAACCCACAAAGCCATTTCTGAACAGTGCAAAGAGACTTTCACTAAGTGGCAAGAGCTGACTAAAAATACAGTGAAGGAATAAATACCTTTTTCTTTTTTTAAAATACGACTATTCCTTCAGAAAAGTAGCATCCCACAGCTGACAGAATACTGAACAATATTCAGCCTCTTCCTTTTGTTTGTCATTTTTATGTGAGTGAATATCGATTTCCCATGAAAAGTGATTTTATTAATGCATACTTGTATTAGGAAACTTGCTCCATGAATCTTAGACTTGAATGATAAAGAATGGGAAGCTCTGACTACTGGTAAGATCGGTCTTTAAAATGACAAATCTTACCAACAGTAAGTGCTTAATACACGTTCCTGGATGTTCTTACTGCTTTATGGGCAAAAAGTTACCAGTGAAGGGTTAAAAAATTAAAATAATTACTGTAAAGTACAGTGAAAAAGAGAGCACATGCCATTTGAACGCTTACCTCCATGTTCTGCAAACTTGGGATTGGAAAGGATCTGTTTACAGAACTTCAGCCCATTTCTATACTGCTTATGTTCATAACACCTCTGTTGAAAAACAAAATAAGTTTTTTCAAAAAATTTATAGAGTGGAAGTGTTCATGCATGCCTGAAACGAAGCATCAGTACAGATACAGATTTTAGAAAATGTACTAATATTTTAATGAATCCTGTTTATTGAGCTTCTTGTGTTTAAAAATTCTTTCCATTGACAGGAAAAAAAAAAAAAAAAGATGTTAGCAACACCATGAGTTTAAATGTAGAAGTGAAGACATATTATCATACAGCAGAATCTCAAGACACCACAGGAAGCTCAAGTGCCTGAAGAGATTCAACTCTCCCTCAACACAAAAGGTAAGCACTGAACCCACTCTGGCCAATTATCCTGAATAGAAACCCACGAGACAACCTCCAACAAGCACATGAGCTGGAAAGACAAAAATCACTGGAACTTGGCTTAAACTACCTCTGACAGCAACCTCTCAGGATGAGTTTGATTACAACATGTATCTCATACACCCAGACTTTCAAAACTGGTATATAGTAACATTATCTTGCCATACTGGAAATTTAAACATTCCTCTACTGTTTTCTTAGACCAACTGTTTTGGCTGAGCCTCATTCATTATGCAAGGTGACCACAATGCACTGCAGCACACAGCATGACCTTTTGAAACTAGATTTAGTATTTTATTTATGTAAATATACTTCTTCTGCTCATATTTAAATAGAAGGCAGAAGAAATAACATTACAAACACCAATTCATAGATTTTAGGTCACTTGAGCAAATGCTTGGAACCTCTTACATTTAATGTTTCTGTAATGAAATAAACATTTAAGAGCCCAGGAGTACAGGAGCACACACTGACTGAGCACCAGCCCAAATCCTATTAATCCTGTTATTAATTACAAAGTCATTCATAACAGGATCTCACTGACTCTGGTTGATTCATTCTGGTGGCAGGATGGTGGACAGGGGTGTAAAAATTGGGTACAGCTCAGTTTTCAGGTCCTTCTAAATAAGTTGTCGCTCAGGATTCCATCTTTCCTCACACTGCTCCAAAGTAATTATCCAAGAGCATTCATAAGCACATATGGACACCATGTGTCCTCAAACCACTCTCAACAAAAATATTTAGGAAAGGCAGACCCAAGAGGTCTTCCCTTCAAGCAGACAGTTCTAAAAATAAAACTGTAAAGAGTTACATGAATGTTAGGGGAAATGCTTAAAAAAGAAAATGGCATATTTACAACTTCTGTGTTTTATGCTGCTCTTCAAAATGAAAGATGATGTTTAGTGTCTGGTTTTCTCTTAGAAATACAACAATAAATTTCAAAGCTATAAATAAATGGCAGAACACTAAGTGCATGTATTATTTTCTAGCATTAAAGTCATACAGGTGAAATAATGACTGAAGACCAAGATGCATCACTCACCACCCATCTTGCTCCCCCTACACTGTCACCCTTAGGAGAAAGGGAATTGCTCACATGGAAACGGAAGGAGCAGGAAGAGCCCAGAGAGAGCAAGCCAGATGTACTCAAAGAGGAGCAGATCAACAAAAGAATTAGATGGTTTGAGCTTGAGCAGACCTTCAAAGGCCATCTAGTTCCACCCACCCCCATGGGCAGAAACACCCGACACCACCTTGTTCAAAGCCCCATCCAGCCCTGACTTTGAACACTTCCAAAAGACAACTCCTTCTGTTCACCAAGGACAGGAGAAGTCAGCACTGCAAAAGAACATTTGAAGGGTTAGGTAAGAGAAAAATCTGTACAGGCAACTTTTTTTTTTTTCTATTAAACCTGACTGGGTATTACTTACACCTTCCAGTCATTATCAGCTTTCAAGCAGCTGGCTGAGTCACTATAATCAGCCAACTAGTCAAAGCTGACAGACTTTTTCTTTTTTTTAATTGAAACCATCAGTCATAAATGTTACAGGCAGGCCTCCTCCCTGAAAAGCAGAGCCCCCACCCAGGTAGTTGTGAAAAGCAGCAGAACCTGTCACAGAAGTGGGGCAGCCACAGGAACTGAAGAAGGTGTCTGCAGCAACTAAGGCACTGACACAAGCAGATGGGGCACTCTGGATTTCTGCAGTCTGGCTTTGAGCACAGCTTGCTCAGATGCTGGCTATGAACGTGACATCTTATCACTAAATGGTTCCATTTAATGTATTCTAACAACCAGGCTCCCACCTTGAAGCTTAAGCAAAGTCATATGGGATACATGCTAAAGACAGGAAACATCTGCACATAAAGTTTTCTAGGGTGATACAGAGCTTACAATGCAAGGTAGTTTGGAACAGAGCAAAGTCACCCAAAATTGTAACAAATTCTTCCTTTAGGCTTCATGGAGGAAAGATTTACAAGTTTATATATACTTACATCTCATAACTCAGAAACCACTTGGATAGGGCCAACAAATTATCAGGAAACAATCTGGATATACTTTTATCTCCAGAATATAGCTCTGTATATAGACATGGCTGTGTATACTCCCCAGTGAAGCATCAAAGGCCTCCTTTGACAAGTCAGTTCTAGATCAAGACAAGTTGGAATGATTTCCTGTATACAATTTCACCAAGTTTTCTCCTGAATACTTTCAAGGTTATTTCATTCTGTTAATGCAAACACTTCAAACTGTGGTTTTTTATGAGTTTCCTTATTCTGTGTATGTGTTCTGTGAGCATACTGTATGCTTTGACAATGGGAGGAAAGGAGCAAATGAAATTGAGGTCACATTTAGCTCTTCAAAAAAGAAGAGACTGTTTCCTCATAGTGGGCCCAACAGCACATTGAGATTCCCCTGCCTGAAGCTGTGCACATACTTAACTCATCCTCCAGAGAGATTATGGACTAGCAAACTCAAATTTAGGTGGGAATGAGACACAAGGAAGCCAGGATAGAAGCACATGCAACCACGGCTGGTACAAACATCAGTGAACCCATAGTTCCAAGGAGCAGACAACTCAAACAAAAATCTTTTAACAAAAAGGAGACAGAAAATATACACACAGCCTGGGAAAGAAGATCCTTAAGCAAGTAAGTAGTTTCTGAGTGAGAGAAGAAAAAAGAACAAGCAATTAAATATTAAAAAAAAGAAAAAAATCACAGAAGCAGGAATGGTGATATGTCAAGTATTCTGGGGACATAAAGATACAGGCTTCCTGGAAACAGGAATTTTATTCATCCGGGTAGCTTGTTTCCTCCCAGATGAACAGCTTGTAGCAGTCATTCCCAGAGCTCCAGGCCCTGCTTCAGGACAGATGTTCTGCAGAAGTGACACATTTCTCTGTCCAGAGATGGCCAGAGGAGCACAGCTGCCTGCACTAAGCTAAATTCCTGCACATGTAAACTTCAAAGCCAGCAGGGACAGTGTGCATGTGATGCCTGACAGACAAGGGCTGCAGCTACAACTTGTGACATCATGCAATGAGAAAACATGAAAGCTAAACTTTAAAAGAGTAAGGTTAAGAAGGCTAATGCTTCAGAAGAACAGAATCTGACTCTACATCAGTACTGAATCTATTACACATTTCCTGCCTTTCAAAGCTTTTAGTTTAATAAGTTACCAGATCTTTTAAGACATCTAACAAACTTATGTATACATGCTGTGGCAAGAATTAAAACCTATTCTAAACACACCAAGGTTCTTTTTATATCCCTTAACTAATTTTCTATCTTTATAGGAAGGAAATAACACCTGCTTTTATACAATTGCACAAAGAATTAGTAAGATGAGGCAGGCAAAGTCTGATTCCTTCGAAATCATGCAAGGCTATAGGAGGTAAGTGACAATTTGTATTTACATTGCTTCCCCCACCAAGTATTTATTCAGTGGATCAGAATGCACAGCAATTACTAGACGGCCCATATTCTCTACAATTCCAAGTCTGAGGTGGCAGGAGGGCTTTATTCTGATGTTCTCTAAACTGCATTAAGGCATCAGTGCAGACTCAGTCTCTGGCCAGCAGATGCCTTACACACACATGCACACAGCTCACTGTGCCAAATGTGAATAAATTCCTCCCCGTTCCTTCTTTGGTGGCTGACATGAAGGAAGGTGAAGAGACTCCTACTATTCACAGCTTATCTACATCAAGTAACAGCTCATGGCTACATGGAGTCTGTTCCTCCCTTGCCCCAGCTTTCCATTTTTGAATCTTCTCCCATCTACTCTCTAAACCCTGCTGCCAAACCTACAGGCAGTGAACACTGACATGGATTCCTGAACAAGGTAACCACAAGGTTGTTATACAAGGGCCATGCTACTGATTACAGTAGCACTAAGAGCTGCTTACAATAGCAGAAATTACTTCCATCCAAACTTAATTCAGCACTGTTTTCTTTATATACACTATAAGCAAATACATTGTGACCGGAGCATTTTAGAGATTTTATATTTTTGAAATTTACACGACTAGGCTCTGTAACTGTTTGCTACTGTGTTAGGTTAACACAATCTGGCTTTTAGTCGTGGCAGAGGAAGCCACAGAGGCTTCTGGAAAAAAAAGGGTCCTTGAAACTTCTACTGTGCCCAGCAGAGCCAATTCCTAAAGGCTCTGATGACTGAACACCAATTCTCCCTCGAGTTGGAGAAAAAGAAAAGGTGAAAACACCTTTTTAAGTTTTATTACTGTTTTGCCCGTAAAATGCTTCTTTCCAATCCTTACCTCAGCTCATGAGCTCCTTTATAATTGTTCTTTCCCCCTCCTCTGCTCAACTATACCAAAGAATGAGTGAATGATTTTTTGTGGGCGCACTGGCATTTGGCCAGCATCAAACCCACAACAGCTACCTATAAGCCAGCAGTGTATTTTACCTCCCAAGTAATTCTTCCCTCTCAAACTAGACATTTTAATGGTCAAATACATGTGCTTCCAACTAAAACTAAAGGATATTAGTCAAGTGAAGCATTCTGACAAGCAGATATGTCCCTCAGGGGACACAGCACACAGCAGACTGGACTCTGCCATTTATACATGAAATATTTTGCACATATTCACACCAAGGAGTGCAAATCCTTTTATCACAAAGCAGTCTTC